CGTGAGGTTTGTGCTTAATGTGTGCGAGTTTGAACACAATCGCACAGGAAGCTATAAACAAAATATATTCAGACCACAAACTCACACCTCACGCTAACGGAAGCGATGAAGAACAGACGTATATGATGAAGAACATAGAGAGTGGAAGAGAGGATTAAGGGAATATGGAGAGAAGACAAAGACGTATATGGTGAATAACAAAGAGAGAGGAAGAGAGGATTAAGGGTAGGAAGGGAAGTTGAAGACGTATATGTACATGAGCAACGGAAGCACATTAAACATTACACACTCACGCACATTAAGCACACAATTCACGCACCTTAGGCACAAGACTCACACACCTCAAGTACAAAACTCGCGCACATTAACATTACACACTCACACACATTAAGTACAAATCACAGACACATTAAGTACATGACACACGCACATTGAGTACAAAACTCACGCACATTAATCAACCGCACAACCGCACGGAAAGCATTTAACCGCACTGGAACCTTTCACTATATATATATATATATATATATATATATATATATATATATATATATATATATATATATATATATATAATTAATTAATAAATAATAATAATAATAATAATAATAATAATAATAATAATAATAGAAGTGCCTAGCCAATTTTTCTCCCGCAAAGCTAAAACAACAAATGTGAGTGTGAATTATTTGAGAAATAATCCTCCTGCAAATGAGAGGATCATGTCAGAAAAAGAAAAAGAAAAAGAAAAGAAGAATGAAGGGCTAGCAGCCACATCCGTCTGGTTCGCAGACATGCAGCATACATCCGTCTTTTATGTTTATTAACATTTAATTTGTTTTTATTGTTTTATTATTTATATTTTAAAATTTTCACAAATTTCAAAATTTTTCATTTGCGAATTTTTCACATTCAATATTTTTCATTTGCAAATTTATTTCTTTTACAGCACGTTTGGTTCATATAATGAATTTTGAGGTAATAGGAATGCTATTTCACAAGGAATGGAATAGGTAAGGAATAGAATATGAATTCAATTCTATTGTTTAGTTCGCGGAAGGAATAGACTTTAGGAATTATATTACAGTGTTTGGTTGGTTTAAGAAATAGGGGAATGAAATATGTTTCAAAAGACATAAATACCCTTATAAAAATATGTGGTAGTGTTGGTGGTGGTGGTGGTGGTGGCGGTGGTAGCAGTGGTAGTAGTGGCGGCGGTGGTGGCAGTGGAGGTGGTGGTGGCGGTGGCGGTAGCAGTGCCGGCGGTGGTTGTGGTGGCGATGGCGATGGTGGTGGTGGCGGTGGAGACGGCGGCATTGGTGGCGATGGTAGGGTATTTTCAGTATTATAGTACTAAAGCTATTTCCAAATACTTGGGAATAGCTAATACCAGGGGGTCTCTTAGGAATGGTTATTCTCCTTGCAAAGGGAATAACTCATTCCTGGGAACGCTATTACCTTGAATAAAATGACAAAACAAACAATGGAATAGGTCTATTCCCGGGAACGATATTTCATTCCCAACCTATTCCATGAACCATACACGCCATTATTGTTTTATTATTTACAAATTTTTCACAACCATGTTTTTTTGTTTCATTTGCAAATCCAGTATGTAGTTTCACTATTTTTTATTAAAAAATAAATTTATAAATAAATTAAATAAAGAAATAATTAAAATATAGTGGGTAAAAATGGTGGGTCCACAAAAAAATGGGAAAAAACTTAAAACTGATGTGGAGAAGAGTTATTTATGATTGAGTGAGATAGTGGAGAATGAGGTGGATGTTGGGACGTACAAATAACTTATAAAAAACCCCAACTGATAAGGATGCTCTTAGGAGCATTTTTGTAAAACCAAACTCATAATTATTTTAGTAAGAATATTGCTTTTATTAACTAACCATATATATTTTCATAATATGATAAAAAATAGAATTAGGAAAAATATCTACATCATTAATTAAAAATGGAACGAAAATTATGTAAAATTGACTGAAAATAAAAAATGGCTGAAAATGAATCTGATATTACTAATTGACTGAAAATATAAAAGGATCATTAATTTAGTGATATTCTACCATTTATATATTTTCACCCGAGTAACCCGTCCTGATGAATTGAAGGTGTTAGCTCTAAACGAGGATGGACAAGATTGTGCTGCCCAATGTCGTCTACAAAGAGGTTTCAATAATGTGTAAATATAATCAGTGATATTATGTTTTTTTTTTAAATTGAAAAGTTGCTATATATATAGACAAAAAATTAAGTTCTGGTGCGGTTAGGGGTGCCCATGTGCGGTTGTGCGGTTTAATCTGGGCCATTCATCTCGCTTAAATCAACGTCCAGGATTACTAAAAATTTAAAAAAAAAATGCGGTGGCAATTTTGTAATTTTTGCATCTAGGTCAAAATTAAGATGAGCTGTGTTGTAATTAATGTGCGTGAGCTTTGTATATAAGATGTGTGAGTCTTGTGCGTAAGGTGCGTGAGTTATGTGCTTAATGTGCGTGGGGTTGTGCTTAATGTGAGTAGTTGTTAAAACTTAAAGTGTGGACTTTTGTGCTTAATGTGCGTGGTATTTGTTCTTAATGTGAGTGGAGTTTGTGTTTAATGTGCGCAGAGTTTGTGCTTAATGTGTGTGAGGTTAGTGATTAATGTCAGTAGTTGTTGAAACTTAAGGTCTGTGAGTTAATACTTAAAGTGCGTGGGTTTTGTGCTTAATGTGCGTGAGGTTGTGCTTAATGGGCGTGAGTTTTGTACTTAATGTGTGTGAGTTTGTGCTTAATGTGAGACATTTTAAAATCTTAAGTGTGTGAGTTTTGTGCTCAAAGTGCTTTGTTCTGTGCTTAATGTGCTTGGGTTTTGTACTTAAGGTGAGTGATTTGTGTTCTTAAGGTGATTTGTTTGTGGACTTAAGGTGCGTGATGATTTGTGTATTTAAGATGCGCCATGTAAATTATTAAGGTGCGTGAGTGCGTCGAACCGCACAACCGCACGGGAAGCCATTCCCGCACTTGAACCCAATCTTTCATACAAATGAATTAGGATAGCAATTCATTCCTATAACTAAGTTGTTAGAGAACGAGCACATTTGCCTAATTTATGAAAATACTAAACAATGATAAATAAAATCTTCAAAGTTATAGCATCGCATGGGTATATCTAGAAATAGGCTATTAATTTGCGTAATTATTTGCACAAATTCAAGCAATGATAACATCAAAATACATAAATGATCCAAACCATATCTTTAATTGCACTATATAATATTTGATGTTCTAATTTAAATAATTATATATCGATTCAAATATTCTTAATATATTATAACAAATCCATTCCGTGCATTGCACAGGTGAAAATACTAGTTTTTGTAAAACCAAACTCATAATTATTTTTGTAAGAATCATTGTTTTTATTAACTAACCATATATATTTTTATAATATGATTAAAAAAATAGAATTAGGAAAAATTAACATAATTTTTTTCTTTTTTTTTTTACAAGCAAAGAAATTCATTCATAAAAAAAAGCCTGCAATACAACTAGGCGGGAAAGAATCCTAACCTCCTAGGACAGGGGATGAAACAGCTGCCCTCGCTAACACGTGAGCTACATGATTCGTTGTCCTACTGACATGATTGATACTAGCTAATCAATTTCCTAATATAATTTTCATATCATATTTTAATTAATTGACACTTTTCTTAATATACCTTACCTAAAAGACTTCCTCCCTTTTTTATAATATTGATCCATATGTTAATCCGTTTATTATGGTAATCTATATTGGTAATTACCATATACTATTTAGTATTTACAATCTAAATAACCCGTGGTAATTACCATCTCAATTAGCCATGCTCTTCATTCTATTTTTTGTTTAAACTTTTCCTAATATAATTTTGGAATAAGGATCAAATAGGCCATCATATCGAACTACACATAATAATACAATTAGGTCACTGAACCTTAAAAAAAATAATTGGATTTCTAAACTAACCAAATTCGTACAATTAGTCCAATTTACATATTTTGCAGGTGAGTAACAGGTTACCCAAAATTTAAAATATTTTTAATTTTTGTTGAGAGGTAAATATTTTTTTTAAAAATTATTATTTAAAAATAATAATTTAATTTTTTTTTTTTAAAAAAAGTCTCCCGTCTCCGCCGGAGATCAGACGAAGAAACTGTCTTCGTCTCTGGCCATGGAGACGAAGAGTCTCTTCGTCTTTGGCCAGATACGAAGAGTTTCTTCGTCTCCGACAGAGACATGAGACTTTTTTTTTTTAATTTTAAATTATTATTTAAAATAATAATTTTTTAAAAAATATTTTAAATTTTGGATGACCTATTGCACAATTTGTAAATTAGACTAATTATATAAAATTGATTAGTTTAGGGACCAAATTCTTTTTTTTTTTTTTTTAGGTTAAGTGGCATAATTGCATTATTGTGTGCAGTTTGATGACCTATTTTTGAATGCTACTGGTTCTATTACAATGTAATATCTGTTCATATACTTTCTCAACCTACTGAAACACAAAGAATCATACTTTCTCAACCTATTGAAACACAAAGAACCAATAACGCCCTGGAACTCACAACCTTCCAAATGAAAGTCCAACCCGGGTACCATTAGACCACATAGTCTTGGTGAATTTCAATACTAATATACAACAAATCTTATAATTTCATCATTAATTTTATTATTATTTTTGAAAGTATTAATTTTATTATTTAAATATATAATAAAAATATTATCCTGCATCGCACCGCTAATTTACTAGTTGATTCTATATTATGAATTTTTGTGTACCAAACTTTCGGAGGGTCACAATATATATTCTTTCTATTGTTTACTCCGTATTACGTGAATGAATCAAGCAGGGATTAAAAGTTAACAAAATCTGTTTTCTGATTACATTTCCTTTATTACTAAAGTTTGGAAACTGAATTGAATTAATTAACCCCTAATTTTCTCTTGCTTTAAATGCTGGAATGGCGTCCTGGGTTCTCTTGCCATTTCTCCGGGGTTCCTCCATTATCGTATCCAGGTTGTCTGAAGGCATATATCATCAGTTCCGTCGATTTCCATGGCGGCTTATGATCAACTCCACGTTTTCTTCTTCCCCATGATGGCTCAAGGCCACATGATCCCAACTCTCGACCTGGCAAAACTCTTCGCTTCTCGAGGCGTCAGGGCCACCATTATCACCACCCCGCGAAACCAGCACGTCTTCTCCGACTCCATCGTCAAAGCCACACAACTTGGCGGGCGAATCCAAATCGTCGTCCTGGATTTTCCGGCGGTCCAGGCTGGCTTGCCGGAAGGTTGCGAGCGGCTGGATCTAGCACCGGACGATTTGGTCCCGAATTTCCATGCAGCCTGTGCGATGCTTCAGGAGCCCCTGGAACAGCTATTACAGCAACACCGACCGGATTGTCTTGTAGCCGACATGTTTTTCCCTTGGGCGACCGATGCGGCGGCGAAATTCCACGTCCCGAGGTTGGTTTTTCACGGCGTAAGCTATATCGCGTTGTGCGCTTGGTATAACCTCCGAGTTCACGATCCGTTCAAGAACGTGTCGTCGGATTGTGAACCGGTCCCCATTCCGAATCTCCCGCACGACATCCGGCTGACGAGGTTGCAGCTCTCCCCTGTCGACCGCGGCTTGTTGGATTCGTATTCGGGGGAATTAATGAAACAAGTTAGGGAATCGGATGTCGCTTCTTACGGGGTGATTTTCAACAGCTTCTATGAGCTAGAGCGAGAGTACGCGGATTACTATACGAATATTTTGGGGATAAAGGTATTAAGGAATAGTATTATTAGTGGTTATTATTGATTGATTGTTTTTCTTGTATTTAAATTCTTATGCACACCTTATTACTACCTTATATTAGTCTGTTTGCACATAAATACTAAATAGCTAGCTGTTACCACATTTCTTCATGTATATAAAGGGCTGTCATATATGAATAGAATGATACTTTCCACTTTTATTATATTCTCGATTCTAGATCATATAGTATAAGAGTCAGAAATTTCTAGCGAAATCTATTTTCTATATTTGTTTTGGGTGTTTATGTAGGCATGGCCGGTTGGACCGCTTTCTCTTCGCATTAATGCAGAAAGTAGAGCAGAAAGAGGGGATAAACCCTCCATGGACGAACACCAATGCTTGAAATGGCTCGATTCCAAGGCTCCCAATTCCATTGTTTACATCTGTTTCGGGAGCGGCATGGCCAGCTTTGCTCCCAATCAGCTTCGCGAGCTAGCCGTGGGGATTGAATCCTCCGGACTGGGCTTCGTCTGGGTAATCAGAAAGGGGAGAGACGAAGAGGCGGAAAATAATAACGAGAAATGGATGCCGGAAGGGTTCGAGGAGAGGACTAAAGAGAGAGGGCTGGTCATAAGAGGGTGGGCCCCTCAGGTGGTCATCCTCGACCACCAGGCAGTCGGGGCTTTTGTGACACACTGTGGGTGGAACTCGACTCTAGAAGGGGTCTGTGCTGGGGTGCCGTTCGTGACATGGCCCATGTGTGCCGAACAGTTTTATAACGAGAAGCTGGTGACCGAGGTTTTGAAGACGGGAGTCGGGGTGGGGTCGAAAAAATGGATGCGATCGGGGAATGATGGCGTGGAGAGTGCAGCCATTGCGGAGGCAATGAAGAGAGTGATGATGGTGGAGAGTGAGGAGTTGAGGAGCAGAGCAAAGGCATACAAAGAGATGGCTAAGAAAGCTATTGAGGAAGGAGGGTCTTCTTACTGTGGTTTGACTGCTTTGCTAGACGAATTAACCACACTTCATCATTCTTCAAGAAAACATTGAGAAATTTACCCTTTAATTTTTACCTATCTGTCACCTATAAAACAACTGAATTATCATTTACTTTCTTGGTGCGTGAGTGTAGATGTGGAGTGATCATATTTACCAGATTGTGTATACTTCATGTTTTTCTGTAGTTCTAAACATTGATCATTGAAGCAGTGTAGCGTGAATTTCATTGAAGGGCGTTTGGTAAATGGCTGTTAGGATTGATTGGGTTAGTAAGTTTAATTAGTTGATAGTATTAGCTGATTGTAGAAAAACTTTTGATAAATTAGTTGTTAGCTGATTATATACAAAATTATTTCTCAAAAAGCTAATTGAAATGAATTTTAGCATTTTAGAGTAATAAATATAATTGTTATAAAAAACTAATTAATCAAACACTCATATACCAAGTCAAATCACTATGTCAAAATTGACTGATAGGTTAATTATTTTACCAAACATGGCCATTGTTTATTTTCCTTTAAACAATATAATCATGAAATTAATTTGGCTAAGTAGCATTGCATAATCCTTTTCACGTACATTTTAAAAAACAATTACATCTCAATATGCTTGAAAATGTGGTGAAAGAAGTAATAAACCAAAACAAAAGAAAAAGAACATTAAGGGTACTTGTTGACACAAATATAATAATGTAACATTTCATATGCTACTACTTGAATTGATAGATGTTGGTTTTTTATTGACAAGAAAAATTTCCATGTTTTTAGGGAAATAAAAATGGGAGAAACAATTTTAAAAAAAAAATATGTTTACTTAGAATAAATGCAAAATAGAATACAAGGGGTTTCAAAAATTATAGAAAGACAAATGAGAATTGAAGTAAAAGGTATTCTAGCCAATCAATACAAAATAAATTCATCCGTTGTAGATTTGTAGGTCAGGCATATCTAGTCGTTTACCTTCCCACTAATCTTGTGAAGAATCCTTAAATTTCGGTTCAATTTGTAAATATATACCTATTTGTATTAATGCCATAATTTTGTCAAAAAAAAAAAAAAAAAAGTATTAATGCCATAATTAATTAGCTGATTTATTATGCCGATTAAGATTAAGATTATCCTTATTCATCCAACCCGATTACAAGAGTTTCTTAATATGTGCCACAGGCTACAGCTAACGTGTAAACGAGATTCTTCTTCCGTTACACAATATTAATTCTCTTCCAAAGGTTGAACCCCAACCCTAAGGGCCCCCACATCTCAATCCGAAAGAACATTTGAGAGGATGTAAATCATGGTAACTCAACTGAACATGAACCATAGAGGCTAGACCGATGCTCACTGTGCACAAGGAGCCCCCTCACTTTGAGAGGTTGCAATATTAATTCTCAATGTAGTCAAAAGATGCAGTAGTAACCCCAATATGTTTTTTTCTTCTCTTTTTTATAATTATTATTTTTAGTATTATAAGTATAGTTATTTTATAGAGTTGCGATCAAATGAGAACCATGTCTTAGGTAAGAACATGAGAACTGTATGAATGCACATAATCTACTAGATGAACGCATAATAACTACTCTAAAGGTCCCCCATTGTTATACACTGCCTAAGAGTAATTAGTGTGCATTCATATAACACGGCGTTTGGTTGGAGGGATTTTAAATTCCCTTCCCACTTATTTCCCACCTAATTCCAAAGGTCATTAAATTCCGTAGTTTGGTTGGAGGGAATTGCAATTCCCCCATTTTCATGGAAGATTTTAATTCCTGGGAAAAAAAGATAGTGATGAGTCAAAATTACCCTTTCCTTTTTTAACTTAAAATTAATGTCTAACAACAATAATGGAAATTTTTGACTTTATACTACTTATTCCCTTTCAATTCCCATGTATACCAAACATTGGAATTGAAATTCCCAGTAATTCTATTCCTGTCAACCAAACACTGGAATTTAAATTCTCACTTTATTCCCAGTAATTCAACTCCCATGGAATTACAATTCATTTCCCACATAATTCCCCCCTCCAACCAAACGCCCTGTAATAGAATGTTTGCACTCATGCAGTAGTTCTCACGGTCTCACCTAATATAAGTTCTCATATGAACACAATTCCCAAACATATATATATATATATATATATATATATATATATATATATATATATATATATATATATATATATATATATATATATATATGAGATCAAATGTGAGAATAGGTTTCAAGTAAAAGATGAGGTTTAATCTTAGCCCTTGACCTAATCAAAATCAACAGCCCAGATTGAAAACATATTAATTAATAAAATGTGGTGACAATTTGGTCTTTTTGCATATATGTTAAATTTAAGGTGCGTGGTTTTTATGTTTAAGGTGCATGGTTTCTGTGTTGTGTGCTTAAGGTGCGTCAATTGTTGAAACTTAAGGTGTGTCGCTTTAAAGCTTTAGGTGCGTGATTTTCCTTCTTAAAGCTAAGTGTGTGGTATATGTGTTTAAGGTGCGTGATTTTCGATCTTAATGTGCGTTGTTTTCCTTCTTAAGGTGCATTGTTTTTCTTCGTAAGGTGCACAATTTTTTTTTACAGTTCGCTTCTTTAATTGAGGACGTGCATTTTTTTTAAATAAAATTCATTAATTTGAGTCGTTGATCTAGATTTGATCAGCGGCTCATATCTAACCCTATATATATATATATATATATATATATATATATATATATATATATATATATATATATATATATATATGCGCTCAGGTAAGAACGAATGCTTAGAACATGAATGAGAACTAATTGCAGTCGTCAATATGTCCAGATCGAATGAATACATGTAATTTTTAAAAAATATATTGTGACATTTTTGTAAATAACTCAAATTGCAAGTAACACGTGTTAAAAGTGCAAGTAACTGGTTCATGTGTGCAAGTAAAGTCACTTGAAAGTGTAAGTAACTGGTGCACCTAATTATAACATTATGTGCACTTATTATTGTTGCTCGGTGTATATTATATTGTTTCACTTCTAATACATTTTAGAGAAAATAGTCAAATAAGCTCATAAACTTTAGCCAAAAAATCATTTAAACCTTTATACTTTTAGAAGTTGCAATTAAACTCACAAATAAGTTATATTGGAGCAATGAAACCCACTAACCTATTGGTGACTTGTATTACAGGTCAATTAGGGTCCAGCCAACCCCGGCAACCATCCGACCCAATTCCGACACGATAAGGACAAACGGTCGTCGGTCACGTTCTGCTGGAGAAGGCAAGGTTGGGCAAATTATTGTGTGGACCATGGTCCACACAATGTTATGTGGACCATAACAAAAGGTACATTTTTAATATACTAAATGTACATTATTGTTGTACTGAATGTACATTATAAAATATAATGTACATTCAGAACAAAAATAATATACACCCCCTAAATACAATGTACATTATTTTTATACTGAATGTATATTATTTTACAATAGACAAAATATGGTCCACACAAGTTGTACGTGTGGACTATGGTCCATACAATAATAATTCGCAAGCTAGATTGCCTTCTTCGGTTATTGGAGTTTATGGGCTTATTTGACAGATTTCTAAAAAGAGAGCTTGCAAGACGGCAGTAACCTTGTTGTCTAATGTCACAAAGTAACCTACCCATATTAAAAGTAATGAGTTCGAGCTTCAATAGAAAGTTTAGAAAGTAGCCACATCATCTTGTAATTAGTAAATTTTTTGGGATGTGGACAACCTTAATTAATAGTTATGGATAATATATACTCATCATGATGATATAATTAAACTACTTCTGTCATATTCACACAGTAGAACTCTTTTATTAAATAAACACGTTGTTTAAAAGGTAACAATCGCAGTCTATAATAACTTCCTTAATGGCGCAAATAAAGAAATAACCTATAGATATATATACTTTACAAATTTAATTACTTTTTTTTAATAATGAATTTATATAAATAAAATAAAGTTAGAAAACTTAAAATTGCATCATACATATCAACTTAAAAAATATTTAGTTAAAAAAAAAATTATAATAAAACAAAAAGATTAAACCTAGTCAAAATTTCTCACGCCCAGATTTGATTTCTCATTGGATGGACAACATCGGACCTTACGGTTGCAGAGATTTTACGTAGCGTTTGAACATTCCTATTTCCATCGGACTTCTCCTTCCTTCTCACAATCAAATTTTAGCTTCTTTCTCTATAAAAGCCGCCCGCCGCGTCTTTCTTCATTCATTCTCGGAGTCGTCTTCTCCACAACCCTCTATATATCTTCTTTCTTCCTCTTTCACCCGAAAGCCAAAACCCTAACGATGGCTTCTTTCAAGATTTCTCTTTGCGTTCTCTGCGTGTTTTTTGTTCTTTCGTCGGCCCTCGACATGTCCATCATCGAGTACGATGAGCAGCACGGCGTGAAGGGAACGGGCCGCTCCAATGAAGAGGTGATGAGGATCTACGAGTCGTGGCTTGTGAAACACGGCAAGAACTATAATGCCCTCGGGGAGAAGGAGAGGCGCTTCGAGGCTTTTAAGGATAATCTGCAGTTCATCGACGAGCATAACTCCGTCGAGGGACGGAGTTTCAAGGTTGGGTTGAACCGTTTCGCCGATCTCACCAATGACGAGTTCCGGTCCTTGTACGTTGGGGGAAGGATCGACCGGAAGGGCCGGCTGATCAAGAGTACCAACAAAAGGCACGCTTTCCGCGACGGCGACGATCTCCCGGAATCCGTTGACTGGAGAGAGAAAGGTGCCGTTACTCCGGTCAAAGATCAAGGCCAGTGCGGTGAGCCTTAGCTTCTTTCCCCTCTGGTTTTTTACTCTATTTGTTTTTGTTTTCTCTTCTCAAAAAGGTTAAATCCCTAACCCTAAGACTCGACGTCGGACCCCATAGATTATTTGGAAAGAGGTAAATCATTATAACATGGCTTAGTAGATGCTGTTCCCACTTTGGACATAATTTCACATTAATGCTGTCGAGTTTTTAATTTTGTTCATTTTTAGATATAATCCCACACTGATGTTACTGCATACTAAAAATCATTGAACTAAGTCCATGTGGACTTCTTTTTGTTTTCTTGTACAATTCAATTCATTAGTGGATCTATATATGATGATGAATTGGTTTAATTTAATGCCCTTTAATTTGTTTGATTGAAATAAGGGAGTTGCTGGGCATTCTCAACTATTGGCGCTGTGGAGGGAATAAATCAGATTGTTACCGGTGATCTGATCTCCCTGTCAGAGCAAGAACTGGTGTCTTGTGACAAGATTTACAACATGGGATGCAATGGTGGTCTTATGGATTATGCCTACGATTTCATTGTCAAAAATGGAGGGCTTGACACCGAGGAAGACTACCCTTACGAAGAGCGTGATACTTCCTGTGATATTTCTAAGGTACTACGCTTGTTTAATTTATAACGACATACATAAATTAGACCTAGTTAGCTTTCTTAACTTTGATTGTTTCTCATTATTGAAATTTTCTTTTAGAGAAATACACGCGTGGTTTCCATTGATGGGTATGAGGATGTTCCCGAAAACGATGAGAAGTCATTGATGAAGGCTGTTGCACATCAGCCTGTTAGTGTTGCCATTGAAGCAGGTGGTAGGGCATTCCAACTCTATCAATCGGTACGTCTTACTAGGTTTTGGTCATTTTCATTAATATTTTAACATAATTGCATTTCTTCCCGGCCCCACAAGTTAAGGTTAAATTCTTACCTGCAAGATTGAGACCTTTACGTTTGCATGACAAAACATTTGAAAAGATGAAAAGATGTAAATCACTGTAACTCAGTGACAATTCCGAAGTGACAATTCCGAATGTATCTGATCTATTTGCAAATACTGCATACTGAATTAATACCAGCATTTGTGTTGTTGTGTGTGTGTATGTAGGGTGTGTTTACCGGGTTGTGTGGGACACAACTAGATCATGGCGTTCTGGCCGTTGGATATGGGAATGAAAACGGAAGGGATTACTGGGTGGTGAAGAATTCATGGGGGCCAAAGTGGGGTGACAATGGATACATTAAGCTTGAGCGCAACTTCCACTTGGGCAATACAACAACAGGCAAATGCGGTATTGCAATGGAGGCTTCGTACCCCATCAAGGACGGTCCCAACCCTCCCAATCCCGGCCCATCCCCGCCGTCTCCACCTCCACCGGAAAAGCCCCCCACCGAATGCGACGACTATAACAGCTGCCCCATCGGCAGCACATGCTGCTGTATTTACCAGTACTCCAACATCTGCTTCGGCTGGGGATGCTGCCCTCTTGACTCCGCCACCTGCTGTGATGACCACTCCACCTGCTGCCCTCCAGACTACCCCGTCTGTGATACCACCCAGGGCACTTGCCGAATGGTACGTAACATCATTCTAATCCAATCTTTTATTTTTCCGGATCCCGAGAAAACCTGCAATGGTCAGCCTAGGCTAGGCTGACTGAGATAACCAGTCTAGATAGCCTAGGCTGCAGGTTGGAGGGATTCAAACTCGTAACCTTGTGATTACAAGATTGTATATATTTTTGGCTGGGGTTATCTCTAATTGAAAATCTATGTATGTTTGTGACAGAGCGAGGGGAGCCCGATGAAAATAAAAGCATTTAGGAGAGGACCTGCGATATCGAAAGGACTAAACTGGAATCAAATGCTCAAGTTTCACTGAGATGGGGATCGATGATGCATGTTGGTGGTGTGGTTAGGTTACAAGATAATGGACAACTCCCACCGTTAGTTGTACATACATATAATATAGCTTCGCATTTTCCATTCGAATTTCTGACATCATTGTTATGTTCTTCTAGCGATTATATTTCATTCGTGGTGCATGGTATATAGTATGTGGAAGATGGAGGGAAGTATATGAAATCGTCCATGACTACTAATATATCAATGTGTACTATGATTTAGTTTCCACTTTATATGATCACATTATTCACAAAATTAAGCTTGTGTTTCATTTGAATTTTTGTAATTTATTCGGTTCAATTGTGTTTGGTATGATGGAATTGCAATTTCATTCCTACCAAACTGGCAAACTCCATGAAATTGTAATTCCATAGTTTGGTTAGAGGGAATTGCAATTCCACGGAATTACAATTCCTTTCCATCATGAAAGTGCAATTCCTAGGGTCCCCCTAGGAATTGCAATTTCACACTTTAATTTGTGGAATTGTAATTTCATGTTGAATTATCATTTTGTCCCTCTTATTATTATTATTATACAATGACAATGATATTTTAATCTTTATTCACTTTTTTCCTTTTAATGCCCAATCATTCTATTCATTCTTATTAAACAATGTAATTTAAATTTCACTTTATTCTTATATCACGTAATTACAATTTCATTCCTCCCTCCTAATTCCCTCTTTCCACCCAAAAACCCTGTCAAAATTCAAACATTATTAAAATTTCTATAAATTGTAAAATCTACACAACTCCGGTAGTAGATGCCTCCGTGAGACTAGCTCAGTGTGTGGAGTGAACTTATGCTATATAGGGTTTGGCTCAAAAAAAAGAGTTGCTCTCGCAACAACTAGTTTTTTGTGAGATCCACTAAAAAAAAATTAAAGATATTCATTTTTGGCATGCATTATGTGCATTAGTTTCGCCCAAGTACATTGCATGCAACAGTTGGACGCGTAAAAATTATGATTTCGTTTTTTATTTTTTGTTGTTTTTTTCTCCTTTGTTCCCTTCTCTCCCCTCTTCTCTTTCATTATTTGCTCTAGAAAAATTTATCCTAAAAATCTATTTATCCTAAAAATCTACTAGTGAGCTTGCTCTTAGTAGCGTACTCCATTAGCTAGATCTTGACATGTTTACAAGACTAGTATAGTACCCGTGCGATGCATGGATAATAATATATAATATTCTAACAATATCTTATTATAATAAAGTATGCATAGTACTTAATATCAAATTTTGCTTTATAATGACTTAGTGTCGGGATTAAATAAATAAATAAATAAATAAGGACCATATACTCAACACTTGTCAAACTACAAAAATACCATGGGCATACATAGAGAGCTACTATACCAAAAAAAATCACAAAGACTGAACCTAATTTGTGGGTATTTATAAGCAAGTTAAGGGACATCTAAAAGCTAGATGGATAATAGTTGGCCAAAAAATTAGATAACATGCATGAACAAATGTGAATGTGATATAAATTAATAGTCATGCACCTAATTATAAAATGTGAATAGTCAACGACCAAATTTGATTCATGTATAATATATAGTCAGTGGATCGGACTAAAAGTAAAATTTATTCTAATATTTATTCTATATGTCTATAAACAAAAAATTGTAATGTCCAAAAATTATAAACTAATGTACATTATAATATTATATGTATTTTCATTCATTTTATAGTAGGTTCATAATGTTATTTCTATATGTTAATAAAAACAAAGCTTAATGTATATAAATATTACACTAAAGTAATGACTTTATCTACCTATAGATTTATTTAAAAATAAAAAATAAAAATATATCAATATGGATGTCACTCAAAAGATCTTAATTAGAGCTTTTTAATGATATATTTTTTTATACATTACTTTTATTTTTCCAAAAAAAAAGAAGAGAAAAATAAACTCAAATTGAGATTAACATAAAATTACCATATGATAAGAAAGTGTAATTAATTTTAATTTTAAATGACATTTTATCCAAATAATTGATATTACCAAAATGCCACTAAGTTTTAGGGGGGAAAACTCCAGGCACTTCTATTACTGTCCTATTTTATCTGTCCTACTTACTATTCATTGGTCAAACCAACTCTTTTTTCTTTGTTTATTTTTTTTAGTATTTTTTTACTTATTTTTAAATTTAATTTTTTGTGTTTAATAGTACTTTTAGTGTAGTTTCTAAATATATAAATTTTGTATACTAACACTAAATTTAATATTAAAAAAATTTAATTAAAAGTAATTTCAGTCAAGCCTCTTTAACCGAACCAGACACATAAAATGAGACAGATGGAGTATTATATATATAGATATATAGATAGATAGATAGATATATTGTATATATATAGATATAGATATATAGATATATAGATATTGTGGAATTATAAGGTTAATAAAAGGGAAATTCAGGGGGGTTTTGTGGAATTTTAGAAAAAGTTGGGGCAAACTGTTATTATTCGAAACGTTTGAGGCCCAAGTAAAATTTCCGCTTCTTCCAAGGACGTTTCAAAATACGGAGTCATTTATTAATTATTTATTACTCTTATTATTATTATATCACGAGCAAGAAAAAGATGTAATTACTGTTTTATCCAAATAGATGATCCGTATTACAATTTTGCCCAAGATTATCCGCTCCGGCACTTCATTTTCACTTTCACGCGACACAAACAGCAAAGACGGCTCAACACGAAGCAGCAGCAGAAGTAGAAGTAAGGGAAGGGGAGACAGTACGACGTCGTGCGTCAAAGCCCTCTCGCCGCCGGCAACTTTCCGAACGTTAGTTCCGTCATTGAGGTAGCTCGCTCTTAAAGCATTCAGTTGCGAAATCCTAAAATTGTTTTTCTTCGCCTGTGCGTCATTGTTTGTGTTTAATCTTCTTGTTGTATGATGGAGGTCTGTCGATTTTATGAGTTGCTTCTTCCGGAATGAATGAATTTTTCGGATCGGGTGAATAGATTTATATATTTGTCAGTATGATTGGGCTCACCAAATAGGGATTTTTCTGACAGGCTTAAGGTTCACCAATTAGGGATTTGATTTTGCTGCTAGGATTAATCCCGAAATCGTCATCCTTCCTCTTTCCATGCTCCAAGCCAAGATGAAAATCAATTCATTGGAGTTTTTAGTGTCCTTTTGTGCAACATGATTTGGAATTAGGAGCTGATAATGTTCAGAAACAGAGAGAAATATAATATTTTCAGTAAATTCAGGCTGAGGAATAAGAAGCTTAATGCAGTGTACTCTGCAGTGAGTCTTTAGTTCTTTACTAATATGCTATTGTGAGTGGAATGATGGTTGGGCTTCCACGAAAAGGCATTTTCCTTAGTCTGCTAAACGATTTCCAAAGGGATAAAGCTGACTTATCACTTATATTAACTTGTCATATTGGGAATGGAAGGAGGGATTGAGTCTCTTTTTGTCTACTTTATTTTGGTAAAATAGAATCGTCACTTATGGTTTTGTATTTAATATCTCTTCCTGACTCTCTTATTTTGTATATGGTTATGTATTTAATATCTCTTCCTGACTCTCTTATTTTGTATATGGTTATGTATTTAATATCTCTTCCTGACTCTCTTATTTTGTATTTGTTACGCGTAATGTAGCTTCAAGTTATTCATTGGAAAGTTAAGATTGATGAACTTCTTTGAGTAATGTTATTTGACATTTTTGAGCACTTTGGGCCAGCACAATGGATACACAATTGTCTAATGCATCAAATCCACAACCTTCCGTGACTGCCAATATGGAAACTTCCAATGTAAACTCTGTGCCAGCACAGGATGGGCCTTCTAAGCTATCCACGTGGGCTAAAAGTTTGAAAATTCCTCAACCATTCACGGGATCTCAAGAGGAAGAGAATTCAGGAAATGCCGCAAAATCACCCTTTGCTCGTTTTACTAGTGGGTTTGGAATGCTTTCATCTCCAAAGTCACCAACAGATGATAATTCTGAAGGAACTTCAACCACTCCACAATCCAGCTTTATTGGAACATTTACAAAAGGATTAGTTGACTCTTCCAAGAATGCAGTGAAAGCTGTATCTGTCAAGGCTAGACATGTTGTTTCTCAGAACAAACGAAGATACCAGGTAACTAGCTATTGTCTCTACCCATCATAAATATCATTCTTTCTTTGACTTAGACACGAAACAGATGTTGTAAACTGGAAAATCTATGAGCATCTTGCACTTTCCTTATCTGATATTTGCATATTCATATGTTATTTGTCTGGAAAATAGATGTCTGGTCATATGTTAACAATACAGTTCCCTTTCACAGGAAGGAGGGTTTGATTTAGATTTGACATACATTACTGAGAATGTAATTGCTATGGGCTTCCCCGCTGGTGATATGAGCTCTGGATTTTTTGGTTATGTTGAGGTCAGCAAACTATCTTTCTCAACCATGGAATCATCAATCATTTTTGCATTGTGTAATTATACTAAATTGAAATACTTTGGGATTTAGGGATTCTATCGAAACCATATGGAAGAAGTGATTAAGTTCTTTGAGACCCATCACAAGGTAAAGATTCTCTGGTTTGTGCTTGAATCTACTTTGTGGATAGAAATTTCATATGGTTCTTCTTCTTCTTCTTGTTGCAGGACAAATACAAAGTATACAATCTTTGTTCTGAGAGATTGTATGATGTATCATTATTTGAGGGAAAGGTGTGTTGCCATTTTCTTTTCAGAAAACTTTACTGTAGTTTCTTATTGAAAGGAAATGTATGTTTCTGCAGTATCTTAATTGAAGTCTTATGATCCTTTGCCAGGTAGCTAGTTTCCCATTTGATGATCACAATTGTCCACCAATTCAACTCATAATGTCGTTTTGTCAAAGTGCATATTCATGGTTGAAAGAGGACATTGAAAATGTTGTGGTTGTGCACTGCAAGGCAGGAATGGCAAGGACTGGCTTGATGATCTCAAGTCTTCTTCTGTACTTAAAGGTACATCATTTATATTTGTTCTATTGTTATGATGTATAAAATTTAATGGCAAAGTGATAGTCACAAATAAGGGCATTTCCTTGATGGAGTTTCCATTTCTTCTTTGCTTGTGCTGGTGATGTCTGTGAGAGTCAACTTTGCTATTTCTTCATGCAGTTCTTTCCAACAGCTGAGGAATCTATTAACTATTACAACCAGAAAAGGTGTATGGATGCAAAAGGCCTTGTTCTGCCAAGTCAGATTGTATGTGAAATAGAAAATTTGAACTTCTTTCCTCATTTATTTATTAAAGATTTCTCATTGATGAATTCTTTTTGTGGTAGAGGTATGTCAAGTATTTTGAACGTATCTTAATGTACTTCAATGGAGAGAACCAGCCTGCACGTAGGTAAATCCATCTCTGATCCATGGTCAAGTTTGTTGTTAGATTCTTTTTCAGGTGACAGGTTTATTATCAAAATGATCCTCTGTTCTGTAATATTAGTAATTCCCTGTAATCAGGAAAACTAACCCTTTGAAGGTGGTAATTGGGAAATTATATCTGCTGCAAGCCTCCATTTGCACCTAATATTTGTTTATCTTTGCTTGATGACATTATTGCAGGTGCATGCTTCGGGGATTCCGACTCCATAAATGCCCTTATTGGATAAGACCCTCGATCACAATCTCTGATCATAATGGTGAGTTAGATCATATATTTGATGGATATCATATACATATACCTGTTCTATTGCATCTTATGGCTAAATTCCATATCATTCAGTTGTGTCCTTTGAGATCATTTATCTTGTTATTGTATGATTTTAAGGCTAGTGCTTTCTTTTCTGTCTAATGTTTTATTTCTTTGCAGGTGTGCTTTTTTCAACAAAGAAACATCCTAGAACTAAGGATCTGCTGGTGGGTCATGTAATTTTGATCATTTTCTGAAAAATAAATTCATTAACCATCATGAGGCACTGTGATATGTGGTACCTGAAAATTCTATGGCAGTGAAATACTGGGGTCATAAAAACTGACAAGATTAAATTTATGATTCTTATATTGGATTTGTCTATTAATTTGAAATTGTACCTTCCATGTTCACTCTTTGCAGCCTGAAGACTATTGGTTTAGTGCACCAAAGAAAGGGGTAGTGGTTTTTGCTCTTCCTGGGGAGCCAGGTGTTGCAGAGTTAGCTGGGGATTTCAAAGTCCATTTTAACGACCGGCAGGGAGACTTTTACTGGTATACTACTTATGTTGTAGTTTAGGAAAATCTCTCAGCAGTTTCCAGTAGAAAGTCTTGATAGGTCATGGTTCAGAGGGAAGATAGAATGTTGGATTTATGTGTAAATCATTTGAATTTTATATTATAGATTTAGATGTAGTAAGTAACATCCTCTCTTTGCCAGAGCTGATCCATAACTTCTTTTGCCATTGGCTCTTGTTTTGTTCTCTTCATTTTCAGCTGGTTAAACACAACAATGATTGAGAACAGGAAAATCCTGAACACGAGTGATCTTGATGGTTTTGACAAGGTAACTTCGATCACTAATAGCAGGCAAATTAGAGATTTATATCCTTATCTTGGTATCTTCTCTAAGTTCTAAATTTTATTCACTATATGCTTTTATTTTTTAATGGACCATTTTATTCAGAGAAAACTGCCATCACCTGGTTTCCAAGTGGAAATTGTGCTTGTCGACTATGACACTGCTTTTCCAACAAGACCTCAACCAGAAGCGGCTGTTAGTAGTAAATCATCTGATAATTCAAGTGCCAACCCTGCCTCTGGGTCCAGTCCTCATTCAGCTGATGAGGCTGCAGATGCGAACTCAAACCAAAAATCAGGGAGCAGTGAGAAGGATGATGTATTTTCGGATAATGAGGCCGAGGAAACTGGAAAGCCAAAAGTTGGGAAAGTTACGGTTGCAACTGACGGTGTACAAGCCAAAGTCTCTACTTCCGGGAATAATACTGGTTCACCTCAAATCTCAAGTTTAACACAGAAGATAGAACAAGTATCACTTGGAGATTCAGGGCTTAAACATAATGAGCAGAAGAGGGATACCACGGTAGGAGCAGCATCAGTCCCAGAAGTCTCTAACACAGAAGTAAGTGATTTCAAGATCATGGCTGCTGATGCATCCGTGTTTACATTTGGAGACGAAGAAGATTACGAAAGTGAATAAAAGGGCTTGGAAATGCCACTTTGTAAAATGTGTACATAAATAGCTTGTGAGCGGCTGTTTAGGGTTCATGCCCCGCTTTCATTCAGCATTTCAAATGTGTTCATGGCCAAGTATTCATTCTTATCAATCTTCAGCTGGTCCTTGGGATTGTTAAGGAGTTGCAGTTTGATTCATCTCTGTCAAATCCATCTTCAGTTGAAAAGCATATATAACACTGTAATTTTATGATTGTTTTCACTTTTCACTAGCAAAATTTGGTGATTCATGTTTAGTAGAGTCATTTCAGTGTGAAGGAATTATGAAATTATGTTGTTGCAGCAGTGGTGGTGGCATTGCATGATGTTGAATAATTGCAATCATCCAATGAAGGGACATTTCAACTATAGTACAGTCATGTTTTTTATTTTTGACCTCCGTGGAAAATTCTTAGTACTTTAATCATGGTAATACGAGATAATGAGTGTAGTAGTAGTAGTAGGCATTGGGAGTGCTTTCGGTGTTCCACTTCCATTGCTTCTTTAACTTTTGCCCACGTATAGTAGTTAGTGGTTGATGATTGTGGCATGTTGTCTGGTCAACCTCTGCTGCTGTGCAATTTGGGTATTGCTTATTATATTGTGTGCTTGGGAAAAGGAAAACCCCTTTTGTTTTTCTTGATGAATTGTCTCCTTTGAACATCCCACCTTCATTGTTTTTGTTAATATATAACTACCCAAAGTTCATGATGGGTTTATTGAGTTGGTAGGTTGTTCTCCTAATGTGATAATGAGATTAATTCCAGCTAAGATTTATCTTGGATAAAGTACAGAGTATTATTTTGGTTAATCACAGAGATTAATCCTATTTGAGTTTAAGAGTAATCTTTGATAAAGTATTTTATTCTAAGAAATATTTAGTCTCTATTGATTTAAGGATATTGTTATATATTATTGTGTATTTATATGTTTATTATTCGATTAGCGAATCTATTTATGCTCTATTGATTTAAAGGTATTCTAATATATTATTGTAAATTAAAACATCATATACTCATCATATTGAGGAAAAAAATAAAAACAAGGCAACCAATTACTATGGTCAAATTTAATGCATTTGCGTTTGAATCATTACCAAAATGATCCATCCTTTTTGTTTATTCTAAGTTGGTTTACCTCGTTATGAACTTTTTATTGGTTAGGGTGGCTTCACTAGAGTGCACTTTCATGTAGCGGTTATGAGCTTTCTCGTAAAGCAAAGTTATATCACAAAATTCAATTGATGCTAAAAAACTTTGTAACCTAGTAACAATAGTGAATGTTCATCACTTGAAAATTAGTAAAATTGGAATCAAATATTTGTTATTTAAATATTATTCATCAACGGGTATATTGTAATTGGATTTGGAGCACATTCTATAGCAATTAGCATATACCATTTGTTTAAATGAATTCATTCTTCACCACTCTGAGATAATACTATAATAATTTATGATCATAAAGTTTGGTAATCAAATAATAAAGCAGATGAAGAGGCAAGGAATGTTACATGAACAAGTAACGGGGGAGCAGCTACGCTAATTTATTTAAGGTTAAATAGCTAGGGTCCTACGTATCTGCTAAAACAGCATGGGAGTGGGAGGGCAAATGATGAAATGATTTGAAAAAGGCGATCCGATCCGGTCTGCTACATATTTTGCTTTTGAACGTACTGAATCTCAACACCAAAATTTGGTGCGCCGGGTGGGCCTGTTTTGACTTTCACTATCAATCATTCCACCAGGCCAGCTCGATCAGATGTCTTCTTTACTTGCTTGCTTTCTGGTAAATTTTGGAATGATAGCAGTAGGTGAGCTAATGAGTCGTTGAAGCATTCTTGGTGGAAGAAAAGAGGAAGAAGAGTATACAATAACCAGTTACTGGACACATTGCCCAATCTGAATCAGTGAAGACTTGTAGATGGATATTAGAGTCTTTTGAAAAGAAAATGCCTTACCAGGAGCTCCCATAAAAGTATATTAACACCATATGTTCAATACTTTCACATGAAAATCTAAGACATCTTATAACACATGAAACACGTAGGGAAAAAGATTACCACTGTCAAATATCAACTTGTGTTTGTAAGATATAAACATCAAGATAAATCCACAGCTTCCCACACCATGATCCCATTGCATGAGGCTACCCTCTATGCTATCACCAGTAACCCAATTGCTCATGACATATTACCAATAAAAAAGAAGAGAACAAATACTGAAGATAAAAACAATGATAATACTACCTAAAAGAGAAGTACAAAGACTGAGAGAAATTCAAATAAAGTAATATTTATTTAGACTAACATTTTTACAAAATTGTAAATATTTATTTTAATGACAATTATAATTAATTTTTAATATATTATCTTACATTCATATACTTTGAACTATTGATTTAAATAAACAAATTCAACATTCAATTATCTATACATGAACATCTCCAATATAATTTTACATTAATATACTTTATAATACTTATTTAAAAATAAATAGTATTAATGATAAGAAGAAAGCACAAGCATGATAGACCACTCCTTAGTCCTTATAAAATCTCTTCCCCCTCCTTTTACTTCCTCTCCTCTGGCTTTTACCTTTCTCTCCTCTGTTTTTAAGAACAAAGTGCATCAAATCTCTCTCTCTCTCTTCCTCACAAACTGGAAACAAATGGGACAGAAGACTGTCAGTCTGAGCAGAGCGTAATTTAAGTATTGTTTGAAGAAGAAGAAGAAGAATATGGGTACCCAATCTTCATTCTTGGTGGATGCTCTCTACTGTGAAGAAGAAAAGTGGGGAGAAGAGATGGAAGATGAAACTGAGGATTCTGAAACAACCACCTTAACAACAACAACAAGAACAGAAGACACTCATCCTCCTGTTGTTGTTCTTCCTCTGGTGTTGGTGGAGCAAGACATGTTCTGGGAAGACGAGGAGCTTCTCTCTCTCTTCTCCAAAGAAAAACTCACCCACTTCATCTCCGACCCTTCTCTCTCTCTCCCCAGAACAGAAGCCGTCCACTGGATCCTCAAAGTCACTTCCCACTACGGATTCTCCGCCTTGACTCCAATCTTAGCCGTCAATTATCTCGACAGATTCCTCTCCACCCTTCACTACAAGAAAGACCAGCCCTGGATGGTTCAACTCGCCGCCGTCACTTGCCTTTCCTTGGCAGCAAAAGTTGAAGAAATCCATGTCCCCCTTCTTCTAGATTTCCAGGTCCATATATGATTCTTGTTTCTTAGATATTGATGGATTATGAGTTTACAAAATCTTGACTTGTTATATATATATAAGGTGGAGGATGCAAAATATGTGTTTGAAGCGAAGACCATACAGAGAATGGAGCTTTTGGTGCTGTCCACGCTGAAATGGAGGATGAACCCAGTTACCCCACTCTCATTTCTTGATCACATTATAAGGAGACTTGGATTGAAGAACCATCTTCACTGGGAGTTCTTCAGAAGATGCGAGTGTCTCCTTCTCTCTCTCATTCCTGGTACGTAATCTTTAAATTTGCTCTTCATTTTCATTGCAAATGCAAGTATTAATTTTGGGTTTGTAGATTCAAGATTGGTACGCTATTTGCCGTCTGTATTGGCGGCTTCAACCATGCTTCACGTCATTCGTCAAGTTGCGCCTTGCAATGCCGACCACTACCAAAACCAACTTCTGGGTGTCCTCAAAATCAACCAGGTTTCTCTTCTTCACAATCTTGAATCGTCCCAGAATTTTTTTTTTTTTTTAAAAAAGCTCAATCTTATGATGTTTGCAGGAGAAAGTGGAGGATTGCTACCAAGTCATCCTCCAAGATTTGTCAAACAAGAAGCGCAAACACAATAGTAACAACGTTAATGAAGATGTTCCGGGCGGTTGTGTGATTGATCCAAATTTGAGCTGCGAAGAAAGCTCATCATCATCATCAGATGAATCATGGGGGGGCATACAGCCTCTCATGAAGAAAAGCAGAATCCAAGAGCTAGTTATATGAAATTAAGATCCATTTCTTTTACAAATTATTGGTTGATCTGAGCAACAAATTGTATGCGTGCTTAAACGTTCAAGTTCGTCTCGTCTCGTCTCGTCTTCTACAGACATAAAAATGGAGAAAAGACAAAAATAGCAACCAAGAATATGAATATATGTGCACTCCATCTCCTCTCTGTTTCTCTCTCTGATCTACTCATCAGTGATCCTTATCAATCTCAAGTCCCTTTCATGCACAATTTTTCTGGCATATTTTTTTTTTTTTCTTCCAATCTTCTTTATATATATTTTTTCTTTTTCCTTCTCTCTATTTTCTACTATTGAGATATCATATCAAATTATGTATTTTGATTGGTATTTTTTGTTCTTAGTTGAATACCGTCATAACTTATCACTTTTTTTTTATATTATTTATTGAAATATTAACCAATGAATGAAAATTAAGGAGGAAATAAAGGGATGTAATAATATGCTTATATACCATGAGTAAAATAGACACCTAAATTTTATAGGTTACAATAATAACACATGAAAAATACTACATATGATTCTTGCTTCTTACTCTCAACTTTTACTCTTTCTCACAAATCTTTGATGTAGACACTTTTTATGAGACCTATATAATGAAAATATCATATCCTTGTTTGTCATGTCATGGAATAAATGTGAGGAAGAAATTTGAGAGTAAATGATATATAGTGATAATACATGAAAAATACTACATTAAGTCTCATTTTTTACTCTAGCTAACATAACATGTTTTGGTTGATCCAGACAAATTTAGGGACCTCAATTTTTGTTCTTTCTTATATCTTTGCACAATAAAATTTGAACATGTGGTGACCTGGGAATTATACTCCTTAAAAGTACTATTACCTATTGATTTATTTAAAGATTAAAAATATAAATATCTATAGATTTTATTGATTTACAATGGCTATGTTTGGCAAACCTAGCTGAAAAGGTAACTGAAACTTAAAAAGAGTTAAAAGCTGAAAAACTATAAGCTTGAGTTGAAAACTAAAGAGCTCTTGAAAGTGTTTGGTAAAATTAGCTTTTCTGTAAAAAGACAAAAAAAAAAAAAAAAAAAAAAAAAGACATCTTCATCAAATTTAAATTAGTTTGTTTACATATTAAAATTTAACATTGTCTCCAAAAAAAAAAAATTAACATTTTAAAATAAAATTATTAGCATAATTATGATCTAGCATCACATGATGAAGTAGCAATATTGTTGTGAATCTCCTTCATCTAATAATAATAATAATAATAATAATAATAATAATTGCGATGAAAGTTGGGAGAAGGAGAAAAGGATTTTGATTAGAAAGAGTAATTGATGTCATTTCTTTAAAATAATAAGGACAAAGAAGGAAAAAAAAGTTAGGAAATTACTAACTTATTTTGAAACGCTATCTAAAGTAGCGTTCCAAAATAAACTCTTATTATAAGCTACGAGTTTATTTTGAGAACATTACCAAACAGAGCTTATAGCTTATTAGTAGCTTAAAATAAGCTATAAGCTCCTAAATAAGCAATAAGCTCCAAGCTCCTAAATAAGCTCTGCCAAACAGAGCCAATATAATATCTACAAATTTTATTAAATTATATTATTTACAACTTTTTAAAGATAAATTGATTTTTTTTTTTTTTTTTTTTTGTGTAGTTCATTCTACATCAATGGAACCTCTTTACTTTCTTCTCATTTTCTCTGCAATAGCTTGGCTTAACTGCATTTCTTTTACCTCAAATTTCATCAATTTACCAAAATATAATATACAACTACATGATATTATAAAAATATATATTCTTAAAGAGTACATATATTTAATGAGTATTTTTCAGTATGCTTAAAAGTAAGTTTGGAAACCTAATTTATACAATAACCAAAAAAAAAAAAAAAAAAAAAAAACTCTAACTATCCCGAAAAAGGTGACACATTGAAAAAAGCATGACTTTCGTATCTAAAGGCAAGTCCATCACATTGGGTCTTCCTAATTAAAACAGGAGCAGCGGCCTGTTGTGTTTGAATTCCATGGATTTAATATTTTAATTTGTTGACGAAAGAAACAAAAAGTACTGGTAGTCGTAGTTAAAATAAAGAAGGCGCGGCGAAGGAGAGAGTGAAGTCGCATTGTTTGCATGTGAATTGTGAAAGGAAGGGGTTTGGTTGTCGGTATATGTTCATTTTTATATATTATATTATATATATGCACACAACACAACACAAGCTAGCTAATAAGGTTTGGTACGTACATGATATGAGTGTGATCGAGTCCGTTCTTTGGAGACTTTTTGATTTCATCACAACATATATTTTTGTTTAGATTTTCTGAATGCTATAGCTTTGACCTTTGGGTTCGTTCGTTCGTGCCAGCTTTGAATTGCACAAATCATTTCTCTCTGTTATTGTACTCGCATGTATGTATGTATGGCAAATGCCATTGCCCACCTAGCTACCTCTCCATCTTTGACTTCCCAACTCTTTTTACTAACTTTTCACATATACTATACTATAATTTTAATTACATGATTATTTTTTTTCGGTGTCGGCCGGATCCGTCGAGTTCAGTCCAATTGAAACATGTGTTCTATCTCAATTAAAAGTCTAAGCTGATAGTTTGATTGCACATTAATGGTTATGCTCAACACGCTCCCTCGCATGGCTCTAATACCAAATTGAAGCATGTGCTCCATCTCAACTAAAGGCTAAGCTGATAGTTGTATTGTACATTAATGGTTATATGCTCAACACTACTCAATTTGAGACGTGACGTTGTGACTTATCATGAAAGATGGGGTTAAATGGTTAGTGTCCACCTACTTATCACCAATTGATTTTAAATAAGATATGACAACAAGATAGTCAAAGAACTCTGTGCGTCTAACATTTACCAAAATCTTTCACCATCGAAGGTGAAAATGTATATATATATATATATATATATATATATATATATATATATATATATATATATATTAATAATAATGGGTGAGGTCAGCCAATTCATGATAATCAATGAATTAAAAAATAATTTTATTATCATGTCAGATGGTGAAAAATGAAATTTTTTTGTCCGATCCATGTAACTTTATTTGTTTATTTATAACATTTTGTGTGTCATTTGAAACATTTTTTTTTGAAAGGTGTCATTTGAAACATTTAATTAAACTAGTTCTTAAATAAGCATTTTACTTGATTTAATAAAGAATATAATTAATGCTATTTTTTTTTTAATTATAGTGCCATTTTCATTTTTTTTATATACTAACTATTAAGTTGATCAAATTTAGTTTATTTAGTGTTTAAGTCAAATTTAATTTTATTAAAAATGTGTAAAATACTAATACTTTTTAAATATTTTATCAAACTATACCCTTTTACCGTTTGAAGATAAATTTGTGCGTACCATATTTAATAAGGCAAAACCATCCATAATATAATGTGGTTATAGCAAAGTGTAGGATGATTTCTTAGATTTTATCATTTTATGGAAGAAATGTGTGTGTTGGGTCCCATATTTTATTCCTTGTTTGGTTTGTTTGGTTGAAGAACTGAAGGAGAAAATTATGGTTCATGCATGGTACCATTGAAAAATCATTGCCCATGATTCTCCAAAGAGGGAAAAGAAAGTTTAATTTAAATAATAATAATAATTTTTTTTTACATAAAAGTCAAAAATGTCAATTTGTTAAAAATTATAGGGTCTTTCTAGTAATAGTGTAATACTAGTTATACCTATATAATGATATCAAATACTATTGATAACAATATTGGTAGTACACAAATAATATAGAATTAATTTCACTTTTGGTCCCACGACTTTTGAAGTTCTATCAACTTTTGTGCACAACTTTAAAATTTTGTAATTTTGGTGTCTAACTTTGTTATTCTTATCAATTTTGGTCATTCCGTCCAAATTGACGGCGAGAGAAAAAGAAGGGTTTGCCAATTGTTGACGCTATAAATCTAATAGATGTGTCTAGTTTATGTCTGTCTTCCCCATTAGTCTCATTGATCAAACACCCATAAATATGATTTTATAGTGATTTTGTTTAGATATTGAAGATGTTTCATTGGGATGACTATTTTACCCCTAAAAATACAAAATTCGGTAACATTTCGTCGTCAATTTGGCTAGAATGACCAAAACTGATAAGAATAACGAAGTTAGGCATCAAAATTACAAAATTTTAAAGTTGTGCACCAAAACTGATAGAACTTCAAAAGTCGTGGGACCAAAAGTAAAATTAATTGAATAATATATATGAACAAATTTCACTTTTGATCTCTTGACTATTGTATATGTATCAAATTTGGTCCTTAACTATTAATATTTTCAAATTAGGTGCATGAATATATAATTTGTATCGCATTTGGTCATTGGCTATTAATATTTTTAAAATTAGGTGCATGACTATGTAATTTGTATCACATTTGGTCATACCGTTCAATTTTTTGACCAATTTTTCAGCCAACTATTGTCAGAGTTTCAACGTGAAAAATAATTTTTTTTTTTCTGGTAAAATTTGGCCAAAAAATACTCTTTCAATTAGAACATATTATTATTTTTTGTTGGAATTTCGGCAATAGTTAACCGGAAAATTAGACGACATGACTAAATATGATTCAAATTACATAGTCATGCACCTAATTTGAAAATATTAATAGTCAATGACCAAATTTGATACATATACAGGAACCAAAAGTAATTTTTTTTTCTATATATAATTATACATAATACTATTTATAATAACAAAATTTCTAAGTTATAATATCACGTCATACAATGTTATAGAAGTGTGCCCAAAATGGGTGGACTAATTAATGTATCACGATTCTTATATTAAAAGATTATTTATTCAAGTAAAGTAATACTTTTTGTTTTAATAACGTAACACTGACTCTGTTACAATGTAATATTTGTTTATAACTATTTTTTCAATCTATTGAAGCATAAAGAGTCAATACAGCTTCACTGAGCTTAAACCAATGACCTAGCTCTCTTTTGGGAGAGTGACTTCATGTAAGTTATTGGCTAATTAATTAACAGTTTCTTAATTGAATTTATTACACATGATTTTTATTACCAACACCCACTCTTAGTCGAGCTCTAAGTCTCTAACCCAAGATTCTGGGTTATGCGGTACTATACCTGGCCTTTTTATGATCTTAAGCAATACCTGGCCTTTATTTTTGACTCCACTGTCCTTCTCTTTTTGCTTAATTATATTCTAC